TGCGAGCGCGCCAAAGCTCCCACTCGCTGTCAGGACCGGCGTATTGCACGAAGTGTGCCTCCTCCTGTTGACAGTCCAGCAGGAACGCCTTACCGACCTTCTTCTCTGACGCTATTGCAGCTTTTCGTCCCCAAATTACACAACTGGAACGCTGGAACTCCACGCTCATGCCTCGTTCCGCGAACTGCCCGGCCGACAATAACCGTCTATCGAGCCCCGGAATGTGGAGCACGTCCACCATTCGGATGCGTTTACCGTCCAAACCAGTCAGCTTGACCGTTCCAGCTCCTGCGACGCGCGGCTTCTTACCATCTGCAATCGTCACGTTAATGCCACTGTCTAGTGCCTCGTACCCAAATAGGTCGTTCCGGTGAGGGGTCATGTGCGACGTCGCACCACTATCAATCAGCCACCCGGCTGAGCGTTCCCCACCAGCTACAAACACTGCATCGTCATGACTGCTCTTCTTCGCAGCAGGACAGTCCCGCTTCACGTGATCCACTTGGTCACAGCTGAAACACTTGCCCTTAAAACCAACGTTCCGTTTCGGACCGTTCCATTTTCGACCGTTCCCGCGGCCGTTCCGGAGCTTGCCTGCGTTCCCATTCAATTGGAACGCTTTCTCTGTGGTCTCCCTCTTCTCGAGTCGCTCATACTCCTTCAACAGCTTTTCCTTGGCCTCGATGAGTGTCACACCCTTGGCGTTCTCCACGATAATCGAAATGAGCTCGTACTCAACGGGGAGGCTCAGCACCACCATCAGCTGGCGTGCCTCGTCCATGGGCTCTCCCAGCCGCTGCAACGGTCAGCTCGTCAAACGCATCCAGATGCTTGGCCATAGTCGATCCACTCTCCATCTTGAACTCGTGGAGGCGACGCGTCATCGTCAAACGGTTGTGGAGCGTGGCGCGGTTGTAGAACTCTCGCAGCGTTCCCCAAGCTTTTATGGAGCGAGTGACCGACCGAATCTTGGTCTGATGCTGGGGTACTCTCTGAGCGATGATGCCGAGCGCCTTGGCATCATTGACGAGCCACGCCTCGGTGATCTCGTTCTCCGGCTTGACGGCTTGAATATGCGCAAGCAGGCCCTTCTTGGCTAGCGTCATGGGCATATTGTACTCCCAGTGAAAATTGTGGATCCGTGGCTCTATCCATACGAAAGAGCTGAGTCAGGTCGTGGAGACTTTTATGGACGAAGCGCTTTACGACTACCACATTGAATCGATCATCAAGAAGCTCCAGTCATACAACGGGCGACATGACGCAAGCAGTGATGAAAGTCACACGGAAGCATTTGATACTGACCGGAGACTACCTTCAGATGTGGACAAGTTGATATCACTGTTTAAGAGTGCATGTCGACTGCCCTCGTCTTCTGTTAAGCATCTAGCCACCACCAGTGTAGAATCCACCGCGTCTTCAGAGCTTGAGTACAATTCTGAGAGTCCTGGGATATCACGCATTCGCTTCAGCCGTGGCGAATCTGTATTTTTCTTGTCCTTTTCTCCCGTTTCAGCCTTGATGGGACTGTTCCGGATGAGATCAACTCGCATGAGAGCAAGTCCCTTGCCAACTTGGGACAAGAATCCTTGCGAGAGTCGCAAGTCCGGATTCAGATTGAGAACATAGTTCCCACTCCCGAGAAGAACTTCGGCGCGCTTGGTCGTCGTCATGTTTTGCAACGCTCCGGTAGAGTTGAGAGTTGCGGCTGTTAACCTGTTGTTGTTGTTAAAGGCAAATGCCAAAGTGAGTAGATTAAAGTCAATTTAATCTGTCCTCTCAACTTCTACTTTAGCGTTGTCCTCCTTGTTGCCCTCTTGTCAAGTGCTCCTGGCCATCCACCAGATTAACCGGTTTGGGAACGGTCCATCCTGGAACGTCACGCCGGTTAGCCGAACCGTGCAAAAGTCGGTGAATATCAACACTCCCACTCACCGCTACTGCACGTCGTTCCTCTTCTTGATTTCACTTGATACTTGAAGGAACGCTAGCGACTTTGTTCCCAGTGCTTTCGTAAGTATGTCAGCTAACTGCTGCTTCGTGTCGATGTAGGTCATCTTGAATTGTGGAACGTTCCACATCTCTCGAATAAAAGTGGTGACGGATATCCACGTGCTTTGGTCCTCGCGTGATATCCCAGCGATGCTTGCAAGTGCAATAGCACCTTGATTGTCTTCCCAAACCTCCGTCGCTCCCACTTGATCGTGACCCATGTCCTTCAGCATGGCACGTGTCCACAATATTATCTGCAAGCTGCAACGACTAAAATAATGACTACAACTATTTTGTTGTAAAAATATTAATAACTTATTTAAGTGTGAGGTTACTGACTGAGCTGCCAAAAGAACAGCGCTGCGCTAAAAAAAACGTTGTCGCTTGAGCCACAACGATAGATACTTTTAGATGGAGCGAAAATTGCTCATAATATGAGTTATTTGCTGGTGACAATTACTACTATAAGCGAATTGAACTGGGCCTTTGTTTTTCTAAAAGTTGTTTAGACAGCAAAAACTAATACTACTAAACTGGCGGACGTCTCGCCGACAAGGGCGTAGGATAAAGTTTTAAAGGGAGCGGAAGTACAACAACACAGCTTGAGATGCGTAAATTATGGTTGGTTAATTAGATCCCATAAAAAAAAGGGAGCTTCAAGTATAACTGATATATAAACCATCCTGGAATCTTAGTTCAACTATCCAATAAAAAACACCGCCACCACCAACAACAGCAAGGCGCATTATTTGAATGTTTTAATCATAACTGGCTAATGACTAATTTCGAATCAGCACAAAATGAACGCACTTCAATACATTAAAAATGTTTCTTTTTAGCTTTTATTGAGTTTATTATGAGAAGTGATCAATCTTCAGTTAATTACAAACTCTAACAGGCAGTACACGCGGGTATTTAGTGCAAGCTGGACAGACTATTGCATTGATGCGAGCTAAGTTTCATAGCGGCTCAGAAACGGCCCATGATATCGAGCACGACGCTAGTCCTAATCATACTGTGTAGCGTTTGTTGACATGCTACTTGAAGTGCAGGTGATTCTGACAGTGATAGCCAACGATAATAAAAAGACAGTGTCAAGATCACTAGACTAATCGTTTTTGAGCATGGTAAGTATGATGCTAGGGACTCAGTCTCTTGTAAAAATCACGCCTTACGGGGAGCTCAGCATTTTGTAGCGGGTCTAGATTAAACCCAGATTTATGAAATTAAATGAGGACCATAGGGGTTCAGAGGTTTTGGAATTATTATCCCGCCGAAGCGAAGCAGAGGCGGGAGGGCAAACAACTAATGTGAAGAATAAAACCCCAACTACCACCGCGTAGCGACGGCGCTCGGCTAGTTAATAACTATTACAGTAATACATGTATGCTGTCGTACTGTAATCGTATTTAGATAAGCATATCCGTATTTATACGTTTACAGTAACAGAAATGTGTGATACACAAAGTAAGCCATGCGGTCAGGATTCAGTACAGAAATCTAGTGGTCCGGCACCCGGACCACTCTTTTTAATACATGCAATACTGGTACAGTATTAGCTTTCTGTATTAGGGGTTATGACGGTTGGAAAGTACTGTACATGTTCATGAATGTTTTGACTGGCCAATCAAATCAAATCCTCAAATCCCGTTTTTTTCAACTCAAACCTTCCTTGAAAAAGTAGAAGGTTGCAACTCACAAGCGAAGGTTAGCTATGATTGGTGAAAAAAATGTCAGAAGGTTTGATTCGAGCCCCCGTATTTCCAGCTTCACTTTTTTGAACGGTTTTGGACCGGATGAAGGGTTGACTTAATTGGCTGACCAAACATACTTTCTTTCCAACCGTGATAACCCCTATAGGTGTACCGGTACAACTGTATGTGGCATACTGAGACAACCGGCAAAGCCCATATGATATCAATATTGGATCTGGTCCATTTACTGTACTGTACCTGTATATAAATAGAAAATGCATGCACGGTGCATTGCACCGTACGGATTACGTACGTAACGGACAGTACTGTAATAAATGATTACTTAAAAATCCGTGTTTATGATTCCAGCAAAATTCAGATCAGAATCTGATTACTGTATCAATGCAGTATCGTATTCGCCCCTAATCCACGCCGTCGGCACATATACTGTATTACGCAGAGTATTCTGATTGGCTAACAAATCGAAGCTCTTTTAGGTTTCAGATCGTTTAGATAGTGATTGCCGCTCTATTAATAATTGCGGGAAATCGAGCAATTCTCCGACGAATAAGTATAGACACTACGACTGGGAAAAAAGTCTGCACATACTCAAAAATGAAGCAATCCTGTTTTCAAAGTGTTCGGTAGAGTGCTCGAATATTACTACTGCATTCATAATATACGACATTTAGAGTTTAGTTGTGAAAGTCGCATACAAGTGGGATACTAAGGTTTCAAACTGTGTACTTGTAAGCTCTGGGCAATGAAAACTAGAAAAGCAGTAAAGCCGCCGACGTATGTAGAATTGTAGACAGCACTATACAATTGCACATTAGATCGTTGTGCGAGCGTACCTCGCGAGCAAAATCACAATTCCTACAGAAGCACAAATAGAAAAATACACACAAACACGCTAACAGCTAGATTGTGGATAGTGATAGGTAATCACAAACAACCGGCCATCGAATTATATACCCGTTTCGATGCTTTGTATTGCTGCATATAGGCTATCCAAATATATCCTGAGGCTTTCAATTTCGTTGCTGTTATTTAAATATTAAATCACCGTTATTGAATTTGATCGGTAAGCGAATTAAAGTTTCGATGTTTCTTTCCTTTAGTGCGCTGACAGGTCTTAACAGAACTCTCGGTCGAAAAGTGGAGCGTTCATACAAAGCACCTGAATAAAAACCTGCGTAACATCTTACGTGTTTCCGTCGCGTTACCGATGCCAAAATCCCGACAATAAGCCTTAAGGTGGGAAATGGCTTTAAAAACAAAAAAAAGCGTTATCTCCAGATTCATGCATGATTTATGAGCCGATCAGATACAGCACGAATGTGTGAGTGATTGGCCTGTGTATACACCTAAACGCCGTGTTCGCAAACTTTCAACCGCTGGCGGGCCAATCATTCATTTTTCAACTCGCCACGTGCACCACTATCAGCTCAAGAGCTCAAAAAGTCCTCTCGACTTTTTAAAATCAAAGGAGACTAATGCGCAGTTCCCTTCTTCTGCCTTCGTTGTTTTCACGAGCAGCAATGCTCTCTCGGCAAGTGCACGTCGTCCCCAGCTCAAAGAGTCAAAGCCAGTCCTGGACCAAGCTGCTGAGTTGAGCATCGACGGCCAGCGCTTTCTTCGAGCTGTCACGAGTGGTTCTGGCGGCCACCGTCTTAGGCACGGTGAGTTCCGTTACCCTCCTCCGCACTTTTCGACGGCCGACCAGATTCGTGTGGGCCACGCTTTCGATGAAGCCATGCAGGGCCACGACGGAGTCGCTGAGAAGCTGTGGGCCGGCCTCGGTCTCCGTGGGACAAGCGCGCCTAGAGCGTACGGTCCCCGTGGATGTCGAGGACGGAAGTCATGGGGGACCGGAGCTACTGAAGGACAGTGTATCTTCGCGGTGAGGCGGTGGGGTGAGCGGTACCGCCTCGCTGTCGTGGTGTACAAAATCGTGGACGATGATTGCGAAACGGTGCCTGACGGCGGGAACGAGGACCATGGAGGACGAAGTGCGGGCCGCAAGGAAGAAGGAAAGAGGTCAGTCGTGAATTTTCC